CTCTCTCTCTCTCTCTCTCTCTCTCTCTCTCTCTCTCTCTCTCTCTCTCTCTCACACACACACACACACACACACACACACACACACACAAAACATCAGAAATGAACAAACGAAAGCACGAATGAACCCACCTCAAGGATGTTGGTGCGCTCGATTGCAGACCCCAAGCGTCAGTGTCCAAGTTTTTGGATGCAGAGCCCTTCCCGATGCACAGCTCAATCTCCATCCGGACCACAAGCCTAGGAACAACAATCTCTTTCTGTGCACGTGTGAGTATGCGTGCGTGGGTCACAGAGAGAGAGAGAGCGGATGGTGCGTTTGTGTGTGTGTGTGTGTCTGTGTGCCTGACTGTGCCAGACTGATTCGTCAGACTTTCACCGACTCATCAGGAGGTAGAACCCCAACAGACTGTGTATGTGTGTGCGTGTGTGTGTGTGTGTGCATGCGTGTGTGTGTGTGGGTGGGTGGGTGGGTGTGTCTGCATGTGTGTGTGTGTTTGAGTCTCTGTAGAACGCGTAGAGTAGCGTAGAACAGCTCAGAGTCTGGTCGACAACGTCTTCGAGTAGTTTAGTGTCTGTAGCTTAGTGTCAAGAGGCCGGGGCAGTGCAAACACTACAGTTTGTTACTAAATGTTCCACACGTGCATTGGCCCGGTACAGTTCGCGGGACCGGCTCTGGCCCTGTTCGCATGAGGGCATGCTACTGCGCGATGCCGGGGTAGGCATGTGGGCATGCTAATGTGCGATGCCGAGGTAGGCACGCGGGCATGCTAATGCGCGATGCCGGTGTAGGCACACGGGACCGGTATCGCGCGTGGTACTGGCACAGGCATAGCACGCGGGAGCATTACCGGCCCTGGCGCAGTGCCACAACAGTTCTAAGACAAAACAATCAGCAGATGATTGGGACCGTCGCGCAGCAAAAGATCGGAAGGCACCGATCGTCTGCTTGTCACAGGCAGGAAATTAGCGATAGTCATATATGTAGTGACAAAGCTCTGAGGAAACACAGCTAGAGCAGATCACGGATTTCGCCTTACCTCGTTGGCGGGGGAGTCGTAACAAACAAACGAGAAAGAAGAAAAAGAAAACAAGTTTCAGAATGTGACCGTCTTTGCTGCGAGATGCATTCCGTAGAGGAAGACCGTGAGCACGGCCTCCTAGACTACCCTGCCCGACATCATTGCCGTACAGAATGATTTTTTTTATTTTCCTTTTCCTTCCATGCGTGGGCAAAAGAAAAATAAGATTTATAGGACTTGTCGACCCCAGGTCCCACCCCCGAATTCTTCGGCAAAGGGCTAAAACTTGTAATTTCCCAACACTGGCAGACGTACAAGTGGCTTAAGAAATTTGCTCGAAAAGGTGACTTCATACCAGAGAGACAACTTCGATTGCAAAATATATAAAGGATATATCAGTCACCCACCTCGATGTTCTGAATTCTGACATAGCCATCGAACGATGATGTCGACAAAATACCAGGCACAGTCGTTGACCACTGCACATTGAAGTTCCAGTTACTGGATGCTGGCAGTTCACAAAGCATCTGCAATGCACGCCAATCACACACACACATGCAGACATACACACAATACCATGTCAGAACTCACGACTAAACAGAAAAGTATGCATGCACCTCGGAGCATGCATCATTCATAGCTCACTCATTCCGGCTAGATAAACAGATCGCCCAGACTGACAGTTCCCACTCTTAGAAAACCACCAGCAAACCACCAATATAATCTTTTTTCTGTTATTCTCAAATTCTCTCCTTTCCTTATGCTATCTAGAGGGGACCCTGCAAGCATAGCTACCTCTCATGGTGAAAGGGCTACTGCACGCTGCCCCTTGCCCTAGTGGTTAAGGGTGCCGGGTTAAGGCCGCCAGTGCAGGTCTGTCTAATGCAAAGACCGAGCATTTTGCCAGTAGCTGCACCTACCTTTTTTATTGTCCCCCATACCCGGTCGAGTAGCAGCAGTGTCTAAGGCCAACAGTCTCCCACACACCACACACAATCCATTCATGCTCACACTCCCAACACTCTCCCGCACACCCCACACAACCCATTCATGCTCACACTCACACCCTGTTGGCAAAGGCCACTACTAAAAACGATATCGTTCTTCACAACCCCGTTTAAGAAAAAATATTGGAAACTGTATTGAAACAAGTTTTGCCTGTCAAAAACTTTTTTGCACAAATGTATCCCGTGAAGGCTGCACTGCGTGGCCATACGCCCATAACAGTTCGGTATCACAGGGACAGGCAATATCTAACATCAGGGAAATGAGGTACTGGTGGTTAGCAGCCTTCTGACACTAGTACCCTTCACTACTGCACTGGTTTACAGGATACCCTCCCTTTTTTACTTGGTGCATAGGATCAACAATACAACAGTGAGAGGTTTTCCCTTTCTGCGAGGGTTGGCCTGACTCTCACGATTATTCAGAAAGTAGTGGTAGCTCAACATCCCCCACCTTTTTCCAAAATGAACTTACTCTGGTCCCTGTTCCTGTTCTGTACCCATAAAAGACGAGATTGGCCGATGTCACTCTCCCTGCATAAAACCAGTGTTTGGACACGTAATATAGAACGGTTCTGAGAAATACAAGAAGGCAGAGCAGCAATTAGCAATGAGGCAACATTTAAGGAAATAGATTCTCATTCTGGAAGGCTACCCCTTCAGCCATACGGACGCTGAATGGTTCATTCGGCAATACGAAATTGATGCTGGAATAATGCTACACATTGTGATCGAAATGGAAGTCCGAGCTCCCTGGAGAAGCTGCAAACCACAAATGCCCACTAGTCCATACAGGGAGGGGCAGATCATAAAGTCGTTCAGAGAGAATATGACCACTTGAGAAATGAGTATGACCAGTCGAGAAAGGTCAAAGGCAAGATGCAGAGATCTTCAACAACCGGTTTGATTCGCTACACAGAGCAAAAGAAAATTCAGAGAGGAAGAAAGGGTGGGGCGAGTCTTAAGCACAGCAAATGTTGAGGTGAAAACTGTGGGTTTGAGGAACTTGGTAGACAGAAAAAAGCATAGTTTGCAGTGTTTACTAAAAAATGGAAGGGTGGCTGGTTTTCATTCAGTTTCTTGCTGACAGTTAATCCTTCCCCAGAGTCGCAACAATTATATCACTGGTGGCAGGATTCTTGGTGACCTTTTATCATGATTTGCTGGCGGAATAGGAACCCGATTGTTGCTCCCCATACCGTAGCTTTGTCCCTGAGCCCCCTTTCCCAATCTGGTGAGAAACAATCCAATTCCTTTTCCACCGCCAAATCACAACTGGATGCTTTGAACAAATAACAGATGACACCTTGACTGCACAAACGTCCACCTCTGCAGGCAAACTTGCAGCCCCTATAAGCACCCTATGGACAAGAGTTCAGAGACAAAACGCACCTCACCGCTCAGAGAGTCCCAGCAAATCGTTCTGTTATCCTTCCCGGAGCTCACAACCAATGCACCATCAAATGGACACCATCCCATGGATAGTACACCTGTAGCACCGAAACCATTCATCAGTCCCTATCCCAATTCTCATGTCTCAACACCATCACATATCCTCTTCAATTGGTTTCCCAGCAGTCCATGGGCACTTTCAGTAGCAACAACCACCATGTCCATCATTCCACATGAACCAAAGATGTACCGCAAACATCCCTGACAAAGTTTGCTCTTGCAACTCCCACAATGTCCAACCCCTCACCCGCGATTACCCATCTGTGCCCTCTATGTGAGCTCCGTCCCTTCTTCACTCGAACCTGGACATTGCTGAAATGTCAGCAAGATTCAATCATTGAACCTGAGCATGCTAAGCATCGGCGGAAGGACAGATATGGGAAAGCTCACCTGGGTCATAGCTTGTGGAGACGTAACGCAGAATATTCAAAGGTTCTTAATCTCGCTTCCTGTACATCACCTTCTTATGGCCAGCTTTCGTCAATCTATGTTCTTCATCTTGTCTTCATCGACACTTTCAGTAGCAACAACTACTCATGCAAATCTATGTTCTTCATCTTGTCTTCATGGGCACTTTCAGTAGCAACAACCACCATGTCCATCATTCCACATGAACCAAAGACGTACTGCAAACATCCCTGACAAAGTCTGCTCATGTCCAATCCCCTCACCCCCAATTACCCATCTCTGCCCTCTATGTGATCTCTGTCCCTTCTTCACTGGAACCTGCACATTGCTGAAATGTCAGCAAGATTCAATCATTGAACCTGCGCATGCTAAGCATTGGCAGAAGGACAGATATGGAAAAGATCACCCGGGACATAGCTTATGGAGACGTAACTCAGAATATTCAAAGGTTCTTAATCTCCCTTCCTGTACCTCGATTTCTAGTGGCCATCTTTCGTCCTACTCATGGCAATCTGCCTCTACATGGCCACTACACCACCTGCCTCTACTCTGGCTATGGCTTCTCCTGGCCACCAATCAAGGATGACTTCCCTCTGGCTATGGCTGCTCCTGGCTACCAATCAAGGATGTCTTCCCTCTGACTATGGGTGCTCCTGGCCACCGATCAAGGATGTCTGCCCTTAGTATGTCCATGGCACATGGCAGGTATCGAGTCCTTGTTCTGGTCACACTGGATCTCAAAGGAGGCAAGTGCTGGCCAGATGGCATTCTATTAAATTATTGGGTGAAACGCTAAGGCAGTCCCATTGAGCACTGACTTCAGCTGTTTCCTGCAACGGTTAGCGTTTTGCTGCTCAAATAGTTTGGTGCTGCCGTCAATGAATGGGGCAAAAAACATTGATCCAATACTTCAATATTTCTTTAAGTCTAGATTCTCGCCAGGCTGTAGTATAGGAGCATCCCAACAAAGCCTAATTTCTCAAACATTCTGCATTAATGAAAACCATCTTCTCTTACTCTAAAACAAACTAATTCTGAATACGATCCACAATTATTGCAAAACCAGGCCCATCTTCCTCTCACTATTGCCATGGCTCCAATCTTGCACCAACATCTGCAACATAACGTGCACGACCTCTTAGACAATCTATATCATGCAGTCCATCCACCTCATGACAGGCCTCCCCACCTAGACTACCCCCACATCGACCACAAATGAGGCCCAGCAAAACAGAAGCCTAAAGACCTTCAAATGGTGTGGACGAAAATCACAGTTAACACTACCCACCTTTGGTATGCCCATGAAGCTCCCGAAAGGGTGAGATCGTATTGCGAAGATCCCAGATCTACAATCAAACACCAAGAAATCCACAACTGTAAGAGAGCCCAATTCGTCCAATTATAGTTATGTCATTCACAAATGATTCATACTACACAAAGCACTCTCCTCACCCGCAGAGACCAAGCAACCATAGTTCCTTCGTCATAATACAACGCTGCTTCTTCCCTTCACGACAAAGCCTGTTTTGCCATTGATATACATGCTTTCAGACTATACAAGATCATGAACCAAAAAAAGCATGACGTATTAATCTCACGTAGACCAATAAGACCAGGTAACTCACCTGTAATGCCGGTGATCTATCATCATCATACGAGACAATCATTTGGTTAGCTACATCGGGACTCCACTGAATCATGGAGCATCGCTTCTGCCGCATGTTGGGGTCCCTCACCCTGAAACAATCACCCCATATTCACCAGCCAAGGCAGCAATTCTGGTCAGTCCCATCAGAACAGGCAGTAAAATGATCATCTGGGTATGATATCTAACACATCACAAGACACACATTCGACAACCCTTTTTCTTCCTTTTTATGCTAGAAGATGCAGAATCTGCCACCACAGAGGCGTTCAGCTCCCTTTCACGTTCTTGCATATTCGCTATGAAGAGAACCTGCACAAGTCTGAAACCTTTATAACGATCCAAAGTTCTAAACTAAAGACAAGCCTCAGAGCATCATGACCGGCATGACCAGCCAAACCACAGGCATGTGCAATCGATTCTATGATGCAGAATCCGAAGAGTGGAGCCAAGTTCATGTTACTACATTACAGTAACATGCAGTACCACTCCTCACTGCACTTGCTTAAAATCCATCATTTCACTAGCATTCCCAGGCGGGTAGTCCTCTGTTCTCAATTCTCTGCATCTCACAGTCGAAGACCTTAAATCCATCCAAGTACCACAACTTGACAACAGACGTCTCCCTCCAGTTGACTTTAGAAAGTTCAACCAGGTATCCGAAACTCTAACCTGCATGTGGAAATACGAAATTGATGTCCTAAACTCTCACACAGCATCTAAGTGCCCTATACGCATCTCACAACCACAAAAGAAGCCGTCCAGTCAACTGGAGATTTTGATGCAGAGCCGAACGCAGATCGGGGATAGCGCAAGCCCGGAATCTGTTTGGACTCTTCCTCATTCTTGAAGTGTCAACAAGTTGCATCTGAAGAGTCAGTGTACCTTTGTTATGAACTTGGTTGTCTGACGAATTTTATCGCCACTCACACACAGACAATCTCACACATGCCCATACATGCATAAGAGAAGGGGAGAGAGGAGACAGAGTCCAAACTGCACACAGGTGAGAATAAGCAGCGGAAGACAATCATGCACAGATGGGGAGAGGACACGCCGTGTTTCTCACTCTCTGACACAACTCCCAACAACCAATCATAAGAAAGAACCTGCGAAAATCACAATTGAACTGACACTGATGATGAGAATAAGCAGCGGATTGTTTGTTCCAGTATCTCGCCACCCTCAGAACTCACACCCCACTCTCTATCCTACACCCAGTTAGTAGCGCCACATCAGAATGGCCTCCCAGAGGCCAGCGCCAACCACCCTGATGAAGAACAGGTCCTACGATGAAGTCTTCAGTGGAGATGGACAACTCTGACGAAGGAACAGGCAGCTATGGCTGCCACCACCCACGAGTACACAGTGTAGAGCCTCAATACAGCCCGGCCATACACAGATACCCCCAGGGGTAGATGCGTTGAGGATGCCCCAGCTATGGCAGACTCAGACTGGGCCGGCTATGGCTGCTGTCAACGGCGAGTCTCAGGATGCCGACTGCAGACCGATACCGCCAACAACTTGCTTGGCTTCTCCAACGCTGCTTCGCGAGAAATGAACAGCCAAAAGTCCTGAACCGATGGGCCTAACCTATCTATAGACTACCTAGACCTAGACCGGACTGACTGACCGACCGGTACCGTTGCTGTTTCGGCCTCTCTGCCTCTACCGGACCCGGCTATAGGCTATAGGACCGTCTAGCAGCATAGGCCGCTTAGGGCCTGTCTGTCCTAGGGGTAGCCCGGGCCTGCTATAGGCAGTTAAGGTAGCTGTAGGAATTCGGGTTAGTACTGGCCGTATATTTTCCCAGATTTGTCCCTCACGAATTTCCTTACAGGCAGGTCTCTCGGTTAGCACTCAGCCAAACAAAATTACGAATCTGACCCTACCGGTTAGTGTACAGCCTCGCAGTCAATCTCGGCAGTAGAAATCAGCAAGTCATTGCACCTTGCCCAAAAATCAGTGATGATGATCCCAGCACGCTGCCCATGCCAGTCAAACTGGACCTCTTCTCACTACCATCTTCACCTTGATAGGACACACGGTGATTATTGCTGTATCTGGACTGAAAGTTGCCCAAAAGCAGTTATACCGATCGTGCATTCCATTCCGGTGAAGCAAACAATGTCCGCCAAACTTTTGCCATTCTTGAAAGAGAAACTCTGGGACTTCCGTTTCCTTTTTCCTTGTTCTTCACCTAGACTTTGAATACAAGAAAAGGTGTGACCCTTCACATTGCTGCATCGAAGCTGGATATGCACTCACTACATTTACTTATTCGTTAAACAGGTACCATTCAATTCACTAGGCAGAGGTATTTTTCGGTTCCTTCCTTCTGCTTCCCTGCATGTGTCCTAGACTTCTTTTTGTTTCTTTTCCACACCAGTTCTGTACCCTTTTTTCTCTTTTTCTTTTCTCATTCCTTTTTATCGATATGTTAGGGACTTGCAAATCATCAATCTTGAAGATCTGCTTTACAGGTGCACAATCATGAATCTTGAAGACCTGCTTTACAGTTGCGTACACGTAGTGCAGCGTACAAACCTGATGACTGCTTTTTGCCGCTTAAGATCCCAGACAACTGTCACCAACGAGGAAGTCCACAAGCACATGCACACAACAAAACATAATTAATTATGAAGGCCAGGAGCTACCACCAGATAACCGATCGTACATCATCTTGGACACACTGCATCTCATTTGTTCTCGTCGGTGCAAGCCTACAAGGTCAATCACACACTCAGCCATCAGAAAGCAGGACTGGTAACCGTCAGTCGTTCCCTATTCACCGCCAACCTCAGTCAACAAGTTCTTATTGTACCCATCATAAACAGAGATCACATCGGTTATGGATAGCAAAGAGCACAGAAGCTCTCCTTAGCACTACTGCACACCAGTTCTCATCGTCAGCAGAGCAGCGATCCCCTTCGGAGGTTTTCATCCCAGGTTCAACCAATCCAACTTTCACATATGTGCAGGTGCCCATTACCACAAGTGTCGTTTACTCTTCAATGAAGAAAAGCACGACTGGTTCACAAACGCCTGGACAAAGAAACAAACAGGATGAAGACGGGCAAAGATAGGACGACCCAGCTGAGTTGTTTGTCTACACCTGCACAAAGTAACAAACAGGATGAAGACGGGCAATGATACGATAACGGAGTTGCACGGGTTCAATCTGCTCTTCAGCGAAATAACAAACAGGATGACGACGGGCAAAGATATGACGACCCAGGTGACTTGTTTGTCTACACCTCAATCGAGCAGAGAGGCTCAATGCAATTGTATGCAGTTGTGTCTGTGTTAGGTACACTTTGCATTCAATCCTTTAGACGAACAACTCAGCTGCTTCATCACATCTTCGCCTGTATTCCTCTTGCTTGTTCACCGTTCATGTTTGTTTTGCTCAAGAGCAGATGGAACCCGTGCAACTCCTTTATTGTATCATTGCCCGTCTTCATCCTGTTTGCACACGAAATACACACTGGAGTCCAGAAATGCAAACTCCAGATATGGTCAACTTAGAAATTCCAACAAATCATCCAATTAAACAGTTTCGGAGAACCAGTCACCAAGCACTCAACATTGCAGAAATCAGCAAGCCAATACCAGCACCCTCATCCAAGGTAGCTCTCTCTCTCTCTCTCTCTCTCTCTCTCTCTCTCTCTCTCTCTCTCTCTCTCTGTGTGTGTGTGTGTTGCATACTATTGAATACTTCGCCAAGTATGGGCAGAACCAAAGATCAACCAATATAGGATGAGCATGTAAGCAGCGGAAGTCTGAGAAATGGACTGACTCATATAGACTGGACTCATCCAGATATAACTCAACAAAGCAATCGTGAGATGGTGGGGTCTGAAGCCAATCATAGACGATGCTCAGGCCCCGTACAACCATACACAGATGAAATGTGGGAGGAGAGACGATGGAGGTGGGAGGTGTAGGCATCGCCAGATGTCACCGAGATAGAATCCAGTAGGTCACCGGTATGGTAGTCCAAAATGTCATCGAACAAGATCAGAATGTCGTGGACAATAAGTCACCAATGTCGGAGGTACAAAGTCCTAATGGAACCGGTGTCCAATCTGTGATACCGCCGAGCATCAATCCCAACTAACTCCAAGTCTCGAATCCAGTAAATATCACCGCCTCCTACCACCGAAGTCCCAACACTGATCTCTGTCCAACTCGTATCAAAGTCTCCAATCTGGATAAGAAGAAGAAGAAGAAGAAGAAGTCTGAAGAAGAAGCAGAAGAAGAAGACGAAGACGAAGAAGAAGAAGATAGAAGAGGGAAGGAGAAGAGATGGCAGAGCATGGACGGAGGTGGCGAATAGCGCCAGGCCCTACCTGATGGGACAAGGTGGCGCCTTGGCTGCTGCAGAGGACGGCGGAGCTGCTGAGCGCTCGTAGCTGCTGGTCAGGTAGGTCCCTCCTCCTCGCTCTCCCGTACTGCAGTGCACTAAACTTAGCACTGCAGTTCCAGTGCTGCGCTGAACTCAGAACAGCGGCCTCAATGCTGGCCTCCTGCGCCGTGGGCTGAACCGTCGAAATGACCGTTCAGCGCAGACCGGCGGCCGGCAGCCTCAAGAGCGCCACCAGGCCCAAACGGTCATGTCGTTTCGGCCAACCTGGGTCTGCTGGTGCTGAGGCCTAACCGGTGTCCTAACAGGGCCTACCGGGAGAAAAAGGCCTGGCCTTTGGCGAGGCCGGCCTGGGTAACCCTGAGTCGCAGAATGTAACACACTTCCCCCCTTAAAATACCGAGCTACCTGCGAGGGCGAAGTTGTCTGTCCGATACCTGGGTGGGTCGGGTGGGACGAGCTTTGTCTTTGGCAAGTCTCCGGTTCTCGTAATCGAAGAACATGAGTGGTGCAGATGCTTGTAAGTCTGTGCGGGAGATCCAACGAGTGTCATCCGGGAAACATTGCTTGAATGTGACTTCGTATTGCATTGGCTTGTTGCCGAACTTGCAGTGCCTGATGACACGGTCGACTTCCTGGTGTTCGTCCATAGAGGGCGGATCTTGTGATCGCCGGCCAGGAAACTCATCCTGTAGACAGCCAGCTTCGACAAGTGGAAGACCAGGTGCACACGGAGGTGTGGTGGGATGGCAATCACAAAGGAAGGACTTGCAAGGTCATCGCCTGCTGCAGAAACTACCTTCCATGGTCCAAACCATTTTGGGAGGAGTTTGCAAGAGACGTCCTGCTCGAGCGCGAATTCCTCAGCGAGGACCCAAACAAGGTCTCCCTCGCGGAAAGGACATGGGAATCGACGTCGATTAGCTTGCTGCTGAATGCGGATTTGAGCCTTTTACATGTTTGCGCGAGCTTTGATCAGCAAGTCCCGGTACTTCCGAACGGAAGCGGGAGCGCAAGCGACGTCTATGTCGGCGGCCTTTGGTTGAAGAAGATCGACAAAGACTCAGGCTTTCTCTCCACCGTGATGCAACTCTAGTGGAGTAATGCAGATCACCAGGCGAACTCGATGTCGGGAAGTCGTCCAACCCAATCTTTCTGGTCGGGACGAACGAGTGTACGTAACATCATTTGAGTGGTTTGATGCGCTCGTTCCGACTGTCCATCCGTCTGCAGGTGTCGTGCGGATCTCGGCTTCATAGTCGAACCAGACTCCGTCATGACGGAAGTCCAGAAGGCGGACATAACGCGATTGTCTCTGTCACTCACAATGTCTTACGGTACACCGTGGCAGGTAATCCAGCCGCTGGCGGACATAATGCGATTGTCTCTGTCACTCACAATGTCTTACAGTACACCGTGGCAGGTAATCCAGCCGCTGTGCAAGAGTCGTGTGAGCTCGGGGGCTGTAGCACGGTACTTGCATGGAAGCAAAAGAGCTACTTACACAAACGGTCAACGACCGTGAGAATGCCGTCATAACCGAGGCGATCGCGGCGGAACGGGCCTGTAACATCCATGGCAATGGAGAGGCGAGGTGCCCAGGGGATCGCATCGGTTTCAGTTCAACATAAGGGACCTGAGATCTACCTTCGTTACGATGGCAAACTGCGCATGACTCAACATACCTCGTGACGTCGTGAAGAACGTCTGGCCAGTGAAAACGCTGGCGGAGGCCAGCCAATGTGGAGGTGTGTCGAAAGTCGTGCGTCGTGGAATTCGCCGAGAAGACGAGTCTGTAACATGCGATCTTGGGGCACCGCTAGTCCTTTCCTCTCGTGTGGAGGAGTAGGAGCCCATCGGAGATACGATAATCACCAACCGGCGGGTGACCCGATGAGAGCTCCACATAAAGTGTGGAGTAAGTCGGATCTGACTTGTAGCCTTTGACGAAATGCTAATGCAGGTCGTCATCGAGTTGGAACGTCGTAGTCACGAGGGCACAAAGATCGGGCCTCCGTGAGACGGCGTCCGCTGCTCGATTGGCGGTACCGGGAATGTGGCACGGCTCAAAGTCGAACTGGTCGATGTAATACATCCATCGACCGATTGTGCTTGTGACCGTGTCCTGCGTCTTATAGAAGGTCAACGGATTGTTGTCCGTGTTCCATCTAAAACGCCGACGACGAAGAAGAAACTGGCACCACCGTTTGAGAACGGTGACGAACGCGAGTAGCTCTTTCTTCCTAACATCGTTGAGAGTGTTGATCGGAGGCACTTTTTGGGAGAAGTACTCGACCAGGTGCCAATCATTCGTGTGGCATTGTTCCAATACAGCACCAATACCGTACCCGAAAGCATCCGTAGTCACTTGGGTGGGTAGGATGGGGTCATAGATACGGAGGGTCGGTGTGTCTTGCATCGCCGCCTTCAACGTATTGAATGCGCCACGAGCTGCGTCGTCGAACTCGAACCTTCGGGGACTGAAGTCTCGACAAAGGAGCTGCCACTTTGGAGTAAGACTCGACGAAGCGCTGATAGTATCCACCCAAACCCATGAAAGAGCGTACGTCGGTCGTGCAACGGGGTTATGGCCAATCCACGATGGTTTGGATCTTGTCCGCTAAGGGACGAATGTCGTTCGACGTCACATAATTGCCGAAGTACTCAAGCTCTTGTTTGGCAACTTCGGACTTGTCGCGGTTTGCTTTCTACTTGGCTGCTCGCAAACGATCCAACACCACACGAAGGTGTACGAGGTGCTCATCAAGCGTCCTACTATAGACCAAGATATCGTCGAGGTAGATGAGGACGGTACGATCGAGCAAGTCTCGAAACTCGATTGTCATGGCTGCTTGGAAGGTTGTCGAGGCATTGGTGTGCCCAAATGGCATCACGACCCACTCAAAATGCCCATACCGCATTTTGAAGGCGATCTTGTACCGATCTTGAGACTGGATTTCAATCTGGTGGTAACCCGACTTCACGTCCAACTTCGAGAAGTGCGTCGCGCCGCCCAACCGCTCGAGGAGATCATCAATCCTGGGGAACGGGCCGGCGTTCTTTATGGTTTGTGCGTTAAGTTTTCTATAATCAATGCACAGCGTAGGTCCTTGTTCTTCTTCCGGATGAAGAGAACTGGTGCACCGTATGGCGAACGGCTAGGGCAAATCCAGCCTTTGTCGAGAAGGTCGTCGAGTTGTGCACAAAGCACCTCGAGTTCCTCTTCGCTCATGCGGTAAATGCATCCACGCGGAGGGACGGCACCCGACTCGAGAGTAATTCCATTACGTACGGGCTGATCCGAAACCGTTCCGGTGGGAGCCTCGGAGACGTCTCCATATCCGTCTAAGAGGTGAGTAATACGTGGGTCCGACGGCAACGCAGCTGGTCCATCTAACGAGGGGAGGGCATGTACGAAAACAAGGCCCATCTCCTCGACGTCGTTCCAAGCTATGGCCTCGCAAATCCTCGCAATGGAAACCACGTGACAAGCAATCGATGTGTGAGGGGTCACAACCGTACATGGGACTAACACTCCGTTCCGATCACGGATGTGAACGGTTCGATCATGAAAGTTGATCGGATGACCGGCGCTACACAACCAAGACATGCCTAGAATCATGTCAAACTTGGTGTCGAGGATGTCGAAAGACATCGGCTCGCACGCAAGGGGCGCAAAGTATACCGGGACGCCGTCAACGCATCGGTCGATCGACTTTTGCATGCGGCCATCCTCGAGTGTAACTTGCGTAGGGTGCGTCTTCCTTCAAACGCGGGCCAAGGCCTGCGCGGGGCATAAAGGCTTGGCTCATGATATTGCGAGATGCTCCGCAATCAATCAAGGCACTGCAGGTTGCCTTTCCGATTTGAATGCGGATATATAGCCCGCGTCGGTCTCAACGTACCTTTGGGTGGCGTACTCGCAATCAATCTTCGCACGATAGGAGCGGAGATCGACAACCGCTACTCCGTCGTCCGTCAACGGAGCTGGTACTGCAGCTCCGTCAACGGAGCTGCTACTGCAGCGTGCAAGTAGGAGCGTAGATTTGCCATCAAGGCGTTACAATGCGGCCTTGGCAAGGCTCCGATTGAGGGTTGAGGCATCCAAGCGATGTCCTCTCTCGTGAGCGGGTCAAGTTCCTCAAGTTTTGACCACGCCGTCGAGTCCTTGGAAATCAGTGGCGAACTGACCGGTTCACTTGCCGACGGTGTACAGGCTGCGCATACGCTATCTAAGTGCAAGTGGCTAGGCTGGTCTAATGGTGGCACCAGCTGGTCTTTCAAGGCCTTGAAAAAATCCTCTATCCTAGTGTGTTGTGAGTACTGACACCATCGAGGTACAGCCTGCCTCCACCAACGAAATTGCGAAGCTTGCTGCATTCTCCACCAACGAAATTGCGAAGCTTGCTGCATTTCCCCCTAGACACGAACTCTCTGTAAGTACGCGATCCCAATACCGAATCAACTGCGTGTCCAAGTACGTGTCCATCTCCACCTCCAAATGAAAAATGCTCTCCTCCTTCCCAGTGTATGTCCAAGGGAGTTTTACCTTCATCTTCTCCCTTCGTTCTCCTCCCTCAGACTTATCTCCTTCCTCCCGTCATCCTTTTTGGGACCCTTTCCTTTCTTGTCCCCATCCCCATCATCACCACCATCTCCACCACCGCCACCTCCACCTATCTTATAGCTACAGCGATGGTGTTAGTCAGTTGCTGAGTGAAGATATTGTCTAATTGGCGTGCATATTGTAGGAGCCCATGGTCCACTTGGTTGGATGACGCACTAAGGTAGTTATTCCAGATGCCCTTAAACTCCTGGTGTCGTTCTACCTTTCCATCGGCTCATTGAAGCACAAAGAGTTCCTAGGTGGTGTGCAGCAGAGTCTCAGTCAGAAGGTTCCAACGTTCCTCAGTTTCTACTTATTTCCCTTTCTGCTCTTTCAGCAAAGTCTCGAGTCTCTCCCCTCCCTCCATTTTTTTCTTCTGCTCAAATTCTTTCCTCCTTGCAGCCAGCAACTTTTGATCAAGTTCCCCATTTTTCTCCTCAATCAGCAACTTCCTTTCCTTAAAATCCTTCATTGCTGCCAACTTCGCTACAAAACGATCCCTCTTCATCAGTTTCTTCTGGAAGCTCTCTCCGGTACCTAAATTTCTCCACCCAGTCCAAGTCCTCAACCTGGTGGACTCTCAACTCCGCAGCATGGCTGCTCTCCACCTCCTCCTCTCCTTCTGGTTGGGCTCGTCTCCTCACCAATCCTCCTCCTCCTCCTCGTCCCTCTTCTTCTTCAACTTCTAGCTCCTTCAATTCTTTTTCTCTCTTCTTCATCTCTTTCTCCTTTTTTTTTCTTTCTCCATTTTCTCTTTCTGCTCCTTTAGTTTCTTCTTAACTTCCTCCTCCTCCTTTCTCTTTTTCCCCTCCTCTTTCTTCTTCTCAGCCATCTTCCGATCAATTTCTGCCTGCTGTCATGGTTACACTCACCGCATGTCTGGTGGAATTCTAGAGGAAACAAGAAGCGGAGGAGTGGACCCCATAGCACGGACAGGGTAAACATAGCAAACATTGGGTAGTCATCCATGGCTACTAAAGGCACAGGTTTGTAACCTCACCTCCTCACCACTTAGACCTCACCCTCCACTCACCGGCCTTAATCATGCCAGTGTTCATCACCAGCGGATGCAGCGAGTTACAAGCTCCGATACCAATTGCATTGAGCCTCTCTGCTCGACACCTTGAGCACACACACACATTGAGAGATCACACAAAATCCACACTGGAGTCCAAATATGCGCAGCTTAGAATTTCCAACGAATTGTCAGCTCAGAATTCAGCAACCCAATACCAGCACCCTCATCTTAGGTAGGTGACTCTCTCTCTCTCTCTCAGCTTGAGAATCTTGACTCTGAATACATCCGCTGCTACTCAGCTCTATCCCTACTACTAACTTATGCGGCTATGGCCGCCTTCCCTCAAAGTGCAGTGCTGCCCAGCAGGGCTCTCGCGCGCATGCTACTTGCAGATAGCTCACAAGCGCTTCAGCAGCACTTCCACACTTCTCAAGAATGAGCAATCTTCCCGAAATGTGCCTGGCCAGTCCTCCTTGTATTGACTTGGACTGAGCCTCAACTCATCCCAGCCCCTGCTTCCTTTGGCTTGACTTGGACCCGGTACCACATGCCCACGGCCTGCTTGCTTCAGAATGTCAAGGCCTGGTACTTTTCCCAAATTTTCATTGGTGTGCTGCTGTGAGTCACGACTTTTCATCTGTCGAACATGACTTTTGACTGTGGGATGCTACTCTTGCCTCTGGGACACGACTTTTGCCTGGAGACGTCCTTTGCCTGTGCAATACGACTTCTCAATAAGACTTTTCAATATCAGACGTGGCTTTTGCTTACAGAATGCAACTTTTGCCTCTGGGATGTGACTGTTTACCAGGTGCGTGTTGGACTAAAGGTACCCGCCTGTGACCTTTCTGAACTGGCCGACTTGGCCTCCCTTGGCTTGAGACCTTGACCCTGAAATTCGAATTTGGGGTCTGAATAATGGAATGCCTTTCACAATACCTGCTGTGCCGCTTTGAGTTGTGGACGCCAGAATGTGCTGTACTTTATTGTTCCATGCCAGATACGAAATTGCCCCTTCATTCCCTCCACCCTGTATACACAGAAGCGATTTTTCAAAAGATGGTTCAGTGTGTTTTCACTATTTCTCAGCAACTGCATCCAAGTTCCTTAAAGCGTGTTTGGCGAGTCTCACTCCAAATGCCACGCAACAACTCAGAGAGATCACATACATAAACACAACTACGAGACCATCCATCCCCCCAAAAGGGTAAGCAGCACGACCGAAATACAAATACAAATGAAACGCAACTACAAAAGAATTAATCTGAATGCTTCTGGTGCCAACTCTCCCAATATGCTTTGCTTGATCATCAATTTCACCCACAGCCATTTGCTAAGAACCCAATTCGTTCTTCTGAAGAATCAATCCAGAGAGTCCGGGAAGGCTATACAGACGGTAAAAACCATAGCTTTGTACCGGGGAGAGGGAGAGGAGTGAAGTGATGATCACAAGATTCACCTAGCCCAAGTAGCTGAAAGGAACACATTTGTTTGTTTTTTTGTCATTGCATCTGGATCTGAACTTGGGTCTATATTTCAACAGTTCATGGGTGTACCAACCGAGCCAGGCCCATCACACATAATTGATTGTTCATGGACAAAGACCTGACGTGGTCAGATGAACTACCACAAGGTTCACATTGTACAACCTCTCAGCACTGCAATCGCCATGCCATCATAGCTGGCATGATTAACAGTGCCATCAAAGCAGCTATGACGACAAGGATCCCATTTGCATGTTAGACTGCCCAAGAGTAGGGTACATCAAAAAGTAAACTGCTATCTAGGAAACATGACGCATTCACACAGAGCGGCATGCCATTAAAGCAGCTATGACAACGAGGATCCCATTCGCACGTTGCCCAAGAGTAGGGTACATGAAAAGTAGACTACGATCAAGTAAAGATAGACGCATTCGCACTGAGGGCCGTAGCATGCTCACGTTGGACTCGCCAAGTCATCAGGATGAAAAAAAAAAAAAAAACAGTATGTAAAAAGGGGTTAAGGTATTGAATTAGCTTATCTTAAATTTGGTAATGAATTCCGCAGTGACCATCAGCGGAAAGTAGTTTGCCGTGCAATTTGGCACCACATCCTTGGTTCGCACTATTCGGCGCACCCTGCCGGACTCGGCTGGTCGAGACAAACGACCCAGGGCTTGCCAGGCATCCGGCCCCACCAGGCCATGTGATGAAGTACCACTGTACAGTGAAGTACTCAGCTCAGGAAAAAGGTCATGATAGAAAATGAAACCTTCCTCCGCAAACCTTTCACCGCAACCCTTTTGCATGCACATCTCTCTCTCTCTCTCTCACACACACACACACACACACACGTGCGCGCAGACCATTCTCCTTCACACATCCAACTTGATTGGGACTGAGGTCAAGTTGCGAACGGGAATTCAAGTACTCAATTCTGCCAACTTCCAAAAATCAACACCAGTCAAGAGGGGGAAGACCGCGGAGGCAGCACACAGGAAAAAAAAGAAGGCAAAACAAAGATGACAATGTCCGTCCAAAACTCCCTGCGCATATCCACTTAACAAGCTCTCAAAATTTCCCTCAAAACTTCCCTGCAGCACTCACCTTAGAACCTGGATAAAGTGACGGTCCAGATGGATTTGTCAGATCCCAGATGCAAAGTTCTCCTTCCTCCCCGCCAGATGCAAGCAAATTGGGGCTCAGCTTGTTGAACTCCAAGCCCATAACCTGCAACAAAACAGAAGCAGCATCACAATGACATCCTGTCTGTGCCATGCAGGCACACAACAGATCTTCCCCCACCCACCACAATTCAAAACTCATCCCGCTTGCATTGCGCTTACACCACCGGTGCTTACCATTCACACCTCGCATCATTATTATTCACACCAGTCAGAGCCTGTAACGCATCTTTACCGTAATCATAAATACGCAAACTACTTTTTCTTAAAATATCCTATTTATGTGGGAGGTAATCGTGGAAGACGACAAATTTATCTCGATGGTAGTAAAAGCAATCATACTGTTTACAGCTCTTCTGCTGAAGGACTAGTAACGATTACTAGAAAAGCAAAGGGTGGCCATGAAATATTTATTGACATATCTAGTCTCATACACTAGGACTCTCAAGGCACGTGACTTTATTGACAAGTCGAGTCTCATAGATAGGACTTTCAAGTCATGCAAGGGATGCGCACCTGGACAGAATTCTGTCAGTCAAAGTCTGATGGGAAAAAGTTTGATGTTTTCCCAATCCTTCTAAATATCAGACCAAGAGCTTTTTTTTCCCGAGCGGCGGGTGATGTGAACTGGCCAGTGCATTAAGAAAACGGTGCAGAAATCATTCTTCAAAATATCAGACCAAGAGCTTTTTTTTCCCGACAAAAAACTTCTTTGGGTGGTAAGCTATCAAATCATAATGATAGGTTCATGAATTTACATATATCGTCTTCAACACGTACAACTTGATGAGACTCCCCACCAAATGCTGCTCAAAATATTCTTTTAAGTTTTTACATCAAATGCTTTTTTCCAGACTTTGATAACTTTGCGAGGATCAGGGTCCTCGGTAAGCTTATGGGGCCCCTGCTTGCAGCATTACCCACCCTAAGTGAAGGCAGAGGTGCCCGCCCTAAGTGAAGGCAGGCCTGGCTTTTTGCAAGAGGCCCTCGACTGTCAATTTCATATTTGGGGTCCAGGCAGTTGCGATGCCCCAGTTAGTTGAGAGAAACACAGGCCGAGCAACAAAGACATTTCCACGGCCCTCCGGGTCTTTCCAAAGAATCCAGGCCCTGGGCGTGATTCGCGGCCTCATACAGAGACAGTTGGGTGCCCAACCGAACGAGGCCCAGCAGCAGTGTAGCTGCTGTACACAGGCAGCCTCCTGGGGCCTTCCGGAAGCTGCTGGGCCCAGGCCAGTGCAGCCAGGCTGCGCAAGCAGGCCAACTCTTTCCATAAAGGAAAGAGCTCTGCCCTGGCTGCCGCATTCAAGCACTCGCATGCTGGCGGCAGCGCTGCTGGAGCAAAGACTCGCGGCTGCTGGCTGGCGCTGAGAGACGAGGTGCAGCACGTACGGTCGTGCAGGGAAGAAGGGCGCTGCTGAGGGCAGCGCCATAGCCAGCCTTCATAGCAGGCTGGGCTTGGACTACAGCGAGGCGCAGGGGTGGTCTTCGGGTGAAACAGAGGACAGACGTGGGTGTAATCAGGGGATAGGTGAAGGATGATGATGATGATGATGATGATGTGAGGGCACATACCTTGTATTGGTGATGGTCTGCATGGGCGACATGTTCAAGTACTTCGGGCTGCCGCTGATGTCAACAGTTGCATTGTCATTTCGTAGTCTGTAGTAGCTGTGTACGAGTAGGCTGGGCGCTGAGCGCCAAGTGTGAGGTTGAAGGAACTGGACTCTTGTGTTGAGAGGAGAGAGTATGCTCTCCATGAACGTTGGTTTTCAGTGCTACGAACCTCCATTGGTGTATTATTGGTGCAATGCTGCTCTATGGACACGGTGTGACTATTTGGCTTTCAATGTGATGGTGTGATCTGGAATTGTCATCTCGCTATTGCTTATTTTCCTTGCAATTTGGTATCGGAGCTGGTTCATATTGCGCTCATTGGTTCTTCGCAATAGCTATTGGTGCTTTGCATGAGGTGTGGGGCAGCGATAAGGCATTGGCGTTGAACATTGGGCGGCCCAGGGTAGAGTGGGCGCGCCACGGAGCTATGCGGTGACATACGGGATGTATTCTGGATGATGAGAGCTCGCTGATGTGGCATATTAAGCCGAGGTGGAACCGCATTCTGCTGTTGGTTGTGCTGAGGCAAAGACCGGTCATCATAATTGCACATCAGGTTGCCAGTGAGAAATCTGCGGTTGGGCGCAGCATTTATGAGGTACGTTGCTCTCTTCCTTATCTACCCTCTTCGTTACTTCTTACCGTGAGGAAGTGAGTTCTGTCTTGAGAGTCCTCTCAATGTGAGGTGTCGCGAGCGCTCAACCTTGAGAGTCGACATTCTTCCTGGGCAGCAAGCTGGTGGGAGACGGGCGAAGCCTCTGAAGGGCCCTGGACGAAGCACTCGGGTCACGGTCACCATGCCAACCCGCTGGGACTAGTACACGCATGCTTTGCCGCAAGTCCTTGGTTCTGCTGCTTGCTCAATAGAGGTCATGCAGGGCATGCCAGCCCTTTGGGACATGCTTTCCAGACCGTCTTTAAACATTTCTGGCTGGGGACTCGAATTTGAATCTGGCTGTGATCGTCGTCCTGTCTACGACGTTAAATAATTCCTGAGGAGATGGGGGCTCTCCTTAAATCCCTCCTGATCAGCCAGATCAACCGGGTGTAAGGCTCGTTGCATGCGAGGGTAAATAAAGTGCAGGGGCTGGCATGTTCGACGTTGACTTGGGGCACAGGGGTGGGCCGGATTGCACACCTTCAGACACG